GGAGATGGAGTGCCGGGTGACATCTGGAAGCTCCGGTGAAACTCTCCAACATCCATCAGGTCAAACACACTCCGCTGGTGGCTTGGAATGTGACGTTATCACTGCGCTATTCCCTTCGGGATACAAAGCAATGCTGGAGAAACGTGTAAATCTCAAGGATGTGCATGATAAGGTCAAGGTTAAAGGTTAAATTTGAGATAGATAAACAATATGATAATGCAGGATAGCATGCCTTGCTTAACCCTGAGACTCGTTTAACACAACCTCTAATGGCTTACTGTTTATATAAAACGGCAATATGAAATATACAAAAATATTTAACAATAACATAAATTTCATTGTTTCAGTTGGAATCTTAACTTGATTGAAACAGCCACAGGTTTGTGTAAATTGGCTATTTTGCAAGGTTATTTTTATACAATAATAAAATTAATAATATAAACTATAATAAAAATACAATCTAAATAATGATATAGTAATATTTTAACATCATTGTTTTATGATGTTTTATAAAATAATAATGTATAAAACACGTTCATTTATCTTTTAAAATGTCACTTATCATATCACTAATTACATTTTTATTAGCTTTTGCCTTTTAATAGTATGGTGCAGAAATCACATCAAAGTACATGGAGTGGAGGGGGAACAGGACTGGCACAGGTTGGACATTAAATCACTCTAATATTAGACTAAATATATAAAACATACATCAAGCTTTCTATGGGCCAAGAAAAGAGATTCGTGATTTGTTGTGATTACTATATAATTACGGATGAAACTTCCTATTGAGATTATACATAGAGCACAAAGATAAGACGGTGCTTTAGGGTTCAAGGCACTGTGAGACATTTACTGCACGCAACAGTAAAAGAGGAGAACAGCTAATCTCTGCAGATATTTACGAGCTGGTGCTCCTTAACCCGTCATCAATGAAAACATGCGGCTTTTCGTTGCAAATCCTTTCAAATAACTTCAAATAAAGTCAGTTTCTGTGGCAAGCGCAGAAATAATAACCCGCATATGCATATCTGTTTAATTTCTTTTATTTTTCCCTTTAAACTGACACCCGGAAAGAGATCTGAGAGAGACCGTGGCAATGAAGTCTCGCTTTTCCATCTGTCTGCTTCATTTGCAAAAAAATGGCCTCCTTGCGATTCAGATATATACGGCTCTCTAGCTGCTCCACATGGCAGCTGTAGGTGACCACGGCCACGGCGAGTCTCTGGGGCCGAGGGATCGCACTTCATATTTCGCCGCCCTCTGTGCCAGCTTCCAGTCTGTTCGCCCCTCATTTAGAGTCCCTATTCGAGCAGAGCGGGTAGTGGAAGAGAGAAGGATAAAAAATCAATTCATATTTCCATAATCCAGTCCTGTCTGTCTCCGTCTCTTCCCTCGCCCTCTCTCTCTCTCTCCCTCTCGCTCGCTCCCCTGGGGTAAAGTAACCCCTCCACCCCGATCTACGGCCTACAACTGTCATTACGCGCCGCAACAATAAGAGGATAAACAAAGGAGGCCTGTAGAGATCGGAGCTGCTGCTGCCATATGCTGGCTAACTTGGGGGAAAAAAGGGATTTCAGCGGATAGAGAGGGAGCAGCCGTACAAAGACGCAAAAAGAGCCTAATCCTGGTAATGAGGCGACTCAATGAGAGCCTTTATGTCAATGTGGAAAAGGCCGATCCATCTGTACACATCTTAAACTAGAAACGATCTTGTCACCAAACAAGTTGAATGGAGACTTTTCTGGAGGACTTATGCTATCGCGTTTAAGTTATCTTATAGTCTTTTTATTCGCTGACATTTAAATTATGCTTCTTGCAGGCCAGGCAAACAGTTTCTGAAGCATCCCAGCAAAAGCCCAATGAAGACCAAAGTGCACACGAAAGCCAAAGATGCTCATCTCTCCTTTATTTCATTCTCATTGTAGTTCATAATGAACCATCCAACTTGCTTTGCCTGAGAGGAGAGGCTTGTACATGGAGACCTTGAGGCCGAGTGAGCAGAAATAAAGTGTGAAAACCACAACGTTGCACTATGGCCCAGACCCAGACCCACTTCTGCTTGTACAGAGAACACATATGACCTAAACAATACTGAAGCAACAACCAACAACCCAAATGCAATTCTTCTTTAACTGATCATAGTTTTAGAAGTTCTGCAATGCCTATTTGAAAGTTTAACTATTAAGAGAGCAATAAAATGATAAATGTGAAAGATTTTTGACTCCGTGCTCAACTGATGCGAGTTTAACATCCAATGCCAATATCTAGAGAGCAGTATCACTAATGTAATGCAGATATATGATTCCAAATTTAAATGTTTATTTAAAATATACATTAAATTGTACATAATATGTAAAACAGGGTTCTTGCACACTTTTTAAAGTAAAATTTAAGGCTTTTTAAGACCTTTTTAAGACCTGAAGAAATCAAAATTAATACCATACATTAGGGGTGTGCGATATTGACAAAAATATATCTCGATATTTTCAAGTTTTGTTGATAAACACAAAACAAAAACAAAATCAGTAAAATATCAACTAATTATTATCAACAATAATTAGTTGATATTTTACTGATTGTGTTTTTGTGCTGGTGCCATGGCTGGTTTAGGCCTGTTGTTGACAGCAGACTCGCGGAGATATTTATATTTTTCATATTCTATGCAGTGGTCAGTTCACAGCAGTGACAGAAATTATTAATTAATGTGCAATATTTGCCATCTTAAATTGATTTCCAGGGCATTTTCACCTATTTATGGAGATTTTTTTTTCTAAACTTCTTTAGAGTTATGCATCACGTGCATCACATATATACAGTAATTATACTTATTTATACAATAATATTTCATTACACAATAATTATACAGTACCACTGTTAGCAGTCAAATTAAATCATTCAATCAAAAATCCATCTTTGCAGTGCAGAGTAGACGCAGAAGCAGCCTTAGAAGTGGCATTAATATATAGACTCCATTTACAATTGCATAAATCAAGCTATAAGGTTTTTAAAAAAAAAAATCAATATTCAATATTTAAATGTGAAATGATTTCTTATTTTTTACTTTTAATATGAAACTAAAACCGCCAGTAGGCGGCGGCAAATCGCTGTCTTAATAAGCGAGTTGAGGGAGTCATTCATTCAACCGATTTGTTCAAACGGGAAAGAAGCAAGTGATTGAATCGTTAAAATGACTCGTTCAAGACGATTCAAGAAATCATCGCTGTCTGTTGCATTGAGACTCTGCTATGGTTTCATTTTGAAATTCTAGTCGGCGAAATAAAGGGAAAACAAACATTATCGATAATGTTATGGCTAAAAACTAACTCAAAATGTCACTTTATTTTTAATTTAACTATTGTATAACATAAATATCACACTTGTGCACGGGAAAACGGCACTCTTACTGATTCTAATATAACAACATGATATAAATATAAGGCAAAAATTTGGGGACATACCTATAACCATAATAAATACATGTCTATGCCTATAACTGCACACATCACGCCGTGAAAACACGAGAGACAAAGCTCACAGCTCACACTCGCAGTGCCTCGTCCATCGTTAAAACAATAGAGTATCATAATAGACAATACACATCGCACACCTCTATGCACATAAAGAATTAACTTACGACTGAACTGACATTTGCCAACTTTCTTCTCTCCTCCTCTCCTGTCTCGCGTGCAGGAGACGGACGTTATTCTGCCGCGAATGTGACGCGAATTGTCACGTGAACAAGCAAATCCACAAAGATAAAAATTAATGTGTACGCAAATTAGATGGTTTTAATTTGGAAAACATTAAGATATGACTGAGTCGAAGTGTCATCTAAAATTTAAGACCTTTCATACCTAAAAATAAGACTTTATAAGACTTTTAATGGCCTTAAATTTTAAATATCTAATTTAAGACATTTTAAGACTTTTTAAGGACCCGCGGGAACCCTGTAAAATGTACATTTATAAATAATGATGTTTATATATATATATATATATATATATATATATATAAAGTATAATATGTAATATTTTAAAATGCATGTAAAAATAAAAATACTATGAAATTCATTATTTTATATTTAAATATGTTTAAATAAATAAAAAAAATTAAATAAATAAAAAATCCAACCATCTACAACCGTATTTATCTAAAAATATTAATATTATTTAATTAAAAATGAATATTTAAAAAAACAACATAACAAAAACATAACATGTGTGTATATATATATATATATATATATGATATATTTAAAGTATAATATTTAATACTTGCATGTTTTAAATATGAATATTTTAAAATGTATGTACAAAATAAAAATACAAAAAAAATAATTATTTTATATTTAAATATGTTTAAATAAATAAATAAAAATATTTAAAAAAAATCCAACTATCTATCTAAAATATAAATATTATTTAATTAAAAATGAATATTTAAAAAAACAACATAACAAAATAAAACATAACATAAATAAACCATAACATAAGAAAATAAAACATTAAAACAAAACATAAGATAAAACATTATAAAATATAACTATTAATAACAAAAATATTGTGTGATATGATAATTACAAAATAGCCAAATATCAGCTGATTAAGCAGATATTTCAGTCTATTACTACTCTTGTTATAGGCTTATTATGCTTTACTAGTGTGATATAGTGCCAACCCATGAATGACACACAGCTGTAGTGGTGTGAGACACAGCGGTGGACGTCCGAAATAGCTCCATCCGCACCCACCCATTCACATCACAACCAGCTGATAATTACCAGAACAACGCTTATTGAAGAACTGCTCACCGCTTTTCATTATCAGCAACATCACACCGCATGAGAGAGAGAAAGAGAGAGAAGGAAGGAAGAGAGGAGGGAGGGAGGTAGGCCTTTAGGAGCAGGAGGGGTCGTGGATGTGGTGCTGGTGGGGTAGGTGGAGGGGTGGGGAGGAAGGGGTACGGATAGAAAAAAAAAAAGTTCCTCTGTCTCCAACCTGGTCTCCAAAGTCCTGAGGGAACTTCCACAGCACTGTCGGATCTGTAAGAAATTGACAGACAGCATTAATCAGCAACCACGCACCGTTCAGAACACATACATATTAATGAAGGGGGTGGGGGCAAGGGTGGTTTCTCCTATGTGTCGGCACACCGCGGCAACGAGCAGAGGCATGGAACGTTCTGCATATGCAAATGCCATCCGGTTAGATAGAGGCCTTTAGAAACACAGAGACAATACTCCACTACCTGCAGAAACAGCAGATGTGTGGCGCTACATTAATATTTCACACCTAAATTTGTTAAAGGAAAGCCTTTACGGCAGCCGTTTAAAAAATATTCTGTTCACATTCAAAACATGAATCAATTTATTATTTATTTTTATAAATATTATACGTCATAGGCCAGGGGTGGACAACTCCGTGACTCAAGAAATATCAAATACATTAATAATAACTATTATTATACATAAAACAAATAAAATAAATTATAATTTAAACTAATAAAACATACAAATATATAATTTTATGTTTATTAATTATTATTATTATTATTATCAATGTGTCAGAGCAGGTGTGCTGCTGCTAACCAATGTTTTGGGAGTTAATAGCTTAATATTAACCGAGTACTATTAACTTCTAAAGCAGTTTTTAATTAATTTTTTTAACACATTAATATTATTTTAGATTTTAGGTGAATAGCCATAATCTCACATAAATAAGCGTGTGCAGACTTGAAAACGCCTTGTGACACATAATAAGGCAGCACTCCAGACGCCTCTGCTATGAGTCACTCTAAAGAGATCAGCTTGGACCACAAAACAACAACTCAATGTCTGCTGAAGGTCAATGTGAGAACCCTGAAACAATGAGTTTGGTGTGTGCACACACACACACACAGCATGTGCAAGGTAAGTCTGATCTACAACAATCCATATTATGACAATAGGGCTGAGAGTTTTTTGGCGCAATTCGATATTGCAGACAAAAAAAGTCCAATATCTTTTGTCAATAGTGTAGTGAAGCATGAAGCCCAGCACACAGAAGACAATTTCAAATCAAGCAGGTTTCTGTTGGTCCACATGTACGAATCTGTGACCTACTTGAACCTACCATAAACCATATGCGAAATTCCAGATTAAGTGGATTCCTATTGAAATAACTGGACTTGTTTCCCATATAACCACATTAAATATTTGGCAACCAAAACAGAAGTTATAAACAGCTACACCTCTTCATCTAAAGTAGTATTCAGAGTAGGACTGGCCATGCTTCAAACACCGGTTTGTTACAGGAAGTTCAAATATCCAGTCTGATAAAAGATATATATGTTCTCAGAAAAGAACAGATTATCACACAGAACTTGTACAGGCATGACACACAGTACTAAAGGTTTGTTAGGATATTAATTTAATGGGAGAAATCCAATCATTTCAATAGAAATCTTTGTGTGAGGGTAAGACAGATTTCTCTTGTGTTAAAGTTGCTCACATGAATTCATTAATTTGACCAGCAGAAAGCTACTTGGTTTGAAAGTGACTTCTGTGAGAACAGTGTTTCATGCCCCACTACACTATATTGACAATAGACAACTGACCTTTTGTCGCAAATTTCACCAAAAGTTTGCTGTTGTGACCTTTGGAATAAGCAGTCTAAGTCAGAGCTAAGAAAGTGACACTTTTCAGGTTTGGCTCGATTAAAATTAACTCTGGTGCGAGAGAGATTGCTGACTGCATCATCACACCCTTCACCACATCTAGAGTTTAACATGGGGTACTTTCCTAAAGATCATCTCTAAATGCAAATCAAACCAGCTATTAGGCTGACTGAAATAAAACCATGCCAATCTCTAGGTATGGTGAAGGGAGTGTTATGATGTGGAGCTATTTTAATTCCAAAGGCCAAGGGAACTTCATCAGAATGCATAGTATCATGCATTCATTAAATAACTGGCCTTTAAAAATAAAAAATCTGCCTGTCTCTTTGGGAATTTAAGTGGTCCTGACTTATGCACCCTGTATTTTAAGGAAGAACATAAACATATTTATGTCATTGTAGGAGGAAGTGTAAGAGGGGGATTTCTGTAAAGACTATAAGCACTAGATCCCACCCTTTCAAACCCGCCCATAGGGGGTTATGCCAATGGGCCTAATGTGCTAACAGACCAATCACAGTTCAGAGCCAGTGCATTTGATTTCACTGGCAGAAACGAAACTACTGAATACGCAGACGGATGCATTATGGATAGCGTTGGGTACCGAAATTTATTTATGATCTATTATTCATTCACAAAGAAAAACTGGTGTCCTTAAAGGTTTAATGAAGGCATTAAAATCATCAATTTCCAAAAGATGATTGTTTATTCCTCTTTTTAGAAAACTTTAGCATTGGTGTGTTCTCTTATGCTAATACACAACAAGCGCATTTAGTTCAGCACACAAATTTTGTGCCACCTCGGGCTGTCGACAAAACTATCGACTACAGTGATATGCTCCGATAAACCGTTTCCATCAACACGGTTCGATAGAGATGCGCGGATCGCGGTTATATCCGCGGATGCTGCATATAATCAGCGACCCAGACGGGCCAAATGATTAAAAAAAAAAAAAAAGAAATTAATTGCGGGTGGGTCAAGGGTCGATGAGATAAATAAATCATTAAAAGACTAGAAACTCTGAATTTCATGGTAAAGTTCAACGAAAGTATTTCTCTTCAGGGAAAAGCAATCAAGGAAACCTAGAAAACCTTCTAGTGGTCATCATATAAAACACAAAGGAAAAACCCTACATGAGATCGCTTTATAACTTAACAGCTTTAACTAAAGATACACACAAGCTTAATAAGAGTGTTTCCAACAATGATGCAATTAAAACAATGATAATTTAAGTTTGAAAGGAGTAAAGCCTGTGTTTAGGCTATTAAAGAAATGTCATTTTTCCAAAAAAGAAATTTTATTTTAAATAAATGTTCATTTAAAAGCAACCTACTTTCAGTGTGATATGTTACCATATCATCATGCTTAACACTGAGAATTTGAATAATTGTAATGTGATGATCAGGTGCAGATATCTAAATCAGAGAACATCATAGGTTTGAGCAGTTGTCGGGTGGATGACTTATTCTTCACAGCTAATTCAGGTGACATTAGAGCTGATCCGCACATCTCTAGCGCACAAGCCCTAGAGCCCCCTTTAAAGTTCAGGTACAAGTCAACGCACAAACTTTTTCTTTGTTCAATTTGCACACTGAACATGGGTTGGAGCTAAAGGTGCACCAGATTAATACATCTTTAAAATGTAATTAATAATAATAATTACCTTATTAGTAAAACACCTAATATTTGTGCTTGTAAAAAGTGTTTTCTTCAGCCATGGTCAGGATTTTACCACCTCCACCTCGTTTTTTTATCAATAGTGTCGGTAAAAGAAGCAAGTGAACCGAATTACAAGTGTGACCACACCCTGAAAGTAAAAGCATGTTTAAATCAAAACTACAAAGCATGATAATAATAATATACTGCGGAACCACCAAGCAACCAACTAGAACACCTTCTCAACAGCATAACAACACCCTAATAGTGTACGTTTTTAGACAAACACAGCTATAACACAATCATATAATAAATTACATCAATGAGTCAAGTTAAATATGGAGTATTTGCACGTTAGCCGTTTCCTCTTTCTTGTCAGCATCAATTTAGAGAGTAACAATCTGAACTTCCCATCATATTTGAACCGAAACTCTTGCTTCTTCATTCTGATCTAATCCACAGCAACAGTGCTGATAATTCAGTTCTGCTGTGCTGGAAGTGATGTCAGATGAAGCATCTAGCAGAATGAACACTGTGATGATTTAGCATGTCGGGCATGAACCCAAATGTAAACCTGCTTTATCGAATGGATCTCTCCATTTTTCATATAGGAACCCCTTCTTGTTTGCATCTCCACCCCTCTGGACGAATCCACCATAGTGGTTTCACTTCTCTCTGTAAAGGTAAATATGCCCGCATATTCTCCACCGGTGCTGACCAGAGTTCAGAGAGGAAAGGGAGTGGGGGTGGGTGAAAAGACTGACAAAGGTGCATTACATAATCCCATTGTGAGATTTCACGGACCTTGTCTTATAATATTTTTACAAAGACTGAATTTCCTTCTCCCCAGGGATCTGAAGCCCAACTCCTCCATCTGATCTGGCAGAGTCAGGTCAATTTTATGCTGATTTTATGGGTGAGAGGATGGGAACCACTGCCAGGGAGAGAAAGAGGAACACAAGGGAGAGGAGAGAGAGAGGGAAAAGGAAAGAGACAAGAATGAAGAGATGCGTCAGAGTGACAGAGAGAGGAAGATGGGTAGCTGACAATTACATGTTTAAGATTTTGGGTTCAAATTTCAATGAATTTTTAAATTATAATATTTCAATTTCAGACTATTGTCATAAAACAAAACAAGTTTAATGACATCACAAAATCTTACCTAGTTTGGGGTTGGAACTCTTTTTTTTTAAAGAAATTGATATCTTTATTTAGAAAGGATGCATCAAAAGTGGCAATAAAAATATTATGTTACAAAAAAATGTACAAAAGTTATTTCAAAGTTTTTATACTAAAAATATTAAGCAGCAATGTTTTTAACTTTGACAATAAATGTTTCTTGAGCAGCAAATCAGTATATTAGAATGACATTTTAATTTGATTTTATTCAATTTGATTCATTCTAATTTAATTTTAATTTCTAATTTTCTAACTTTTTCTGTTAATTTCAAACAGAAAAAGGTTATTTGAAATAGCAACATTATTTTAAAGATATTACTGTTTTTACTGTATTTTTATCAAATGCCTTGGCGAGCATAAAAGTCTTCTTTCCAAAACACTTTTAAAAATCTTACCAACCCCCTTCGAAAGGTAAAAAACAATGCCATGTTGTCATAAAACGCACGAAAATTAAGTTTAAACAATTTTAGATGTCACAGTGCAGGACACTGGTGTCAATGCGCTAACATCAACTACTTTGATATAGAGAGGGAAAAGACAATAAAAAGGGTAATA